CAAGAATATTGCCTGATACAAAAGCGTGGACGAGCGTACACTTTTCGATACAAGGGCATGTATTTAAAATCATCGATCAATTATTTTATAAAGGCGTTCATTTAGCAATTTTGGGGTGTGCATTTGCTTTAGCTATAATTAGGGATTGAAGCTTTTTGCCTTTACAAACGAGATATTAACGAACGCGATGCACTCGACACTACATGTCGGATCCATCTAAATGGCTAGTTGGTTTTAAGAATGGCTAGTTGTCATTTAAGAAATGGCAATATCTATGTACAGTAGAAAAGCAAGAAAATGACTAAAACAAAGTTTGCCTTCATTACCGGTAATCGGATACATGCACAGCAAAATTTACCGCTAAAAACGTAAATTGTATTATACGGCTATACGTACATTTGATCGAGCCTATCCTAATTATTCGTTAGGACCGAATCATTGTCGGTCTGATAATATTAGTACTGTCCACCTGCACGATACGTATCCGAACCCCTTCGTTCAATTTTGTGTGTAAGGTCTGTTTTCACCAGGTGTCTCAAACCGTATTTTGTATTTGATATAGGTCCTTTTAGTCCCGAACGAGTAATACAGTCCATTTTTGGATTTCCAGAACATTGTGCGACGAGCTGACATCGTAATGTTGACCCTGCAAGATGCTACAAACGCGCCATATGTATTTTCTTTGCATTTTGTTACCTAATGCTCATTATCATTGATTGAAATTCTGCTACTATAGCGTGTAACGAGGACCTGAGGGCTTTTTGCATGCTCAATGCTGGTTTTTGAACGCTGATGTGGCTATTTCGCAAATACAGGATCGACTGGTAAATCACTCACCATTTGTACGACAGGTGCGGATTGTTGTGCGATGGTGATCGTGCAGAGGTAGGTAGGTGCCATATTCGTCATACAAACCTTATAAAAGGTGTAGTACGGGTGTGGTATATGGGGTGTATTTAGTCAAATATAAGGGGGTAATTAAACCATACACTTCAATTTAGGGAGGCGTTAATTATCCACCACCCCCTACAATAACTACCCAATCCATCATACTATCCAACCATCGCACATAAGATACTCGGATTTGTCAATAAATCTAAATTCAACCAACATTTGATTCCTAATTGGTCGTACAGGTAATGAAAACGAACGCTTTTTCATCAACAGCAGGTAAATACGAATGCTCTACTGCAACTATCCCATTTGCCACAACTTCTTATAAATGAAAGACCTTTAGACCCCTAACCACTGGCACATACTTCTCTTGCTGATGCTCAAGCTGGCCAAAAGGCCCTGCAACGTCACAGGGACATGTTATTGTTGCGATGCGTAAAAAGAGGATTGGCAGGAGGAAATAAGGAGAATCCAATGTATTTTACAATTGTCACATATTAGCTACGCTAAAAAGAATGAGCATAGCGCTCTGATTTATACGGACAAATGCACACGTTAAAGATATATCCTGTAACTCGTCTTTCCAGTAAAAGTGAGTCACAGTGACCATTAAGTCATAGTATATGGTAAGTCAAAGTAACTGGTAAGTCACAGTAACTAGTAAGAGCGAATAACAGGAATTTTATTAATGATGTGCATCCGTTCGTATAAATCAGAGCACTGTGATCACTGGTAGTTAACGTAGCTACTTTGAAACTCTTTCGATCGAGTATTACTGACAAGGGGAGCCGCTCGGTACGTGCGGACGTTGACGATGTAAGAGAGTGTACTTGTTAGATTCATTATCACGGACACATGAAGACATTAGATTAGCTAACATAATTAATTAAGTTAAGAGGTGTGTGAATGTACACAGGGTGATTGATGTACAAGAGACAACACGGAGCAGTAGGAAAACAAGAGCAGCATTTAAACTAATATTAATCTCACTTAGACAATTTCCTTTAACTACCAACTCCAAACAAAAGTTAAAAAGCCGCAAGAAGCTCAAGACCAAGCACATCAGCGCCATGAACACCACGTTCACCAAGAAGGCCGAAGTCATCCCGGGAAGCAACAACTACTTACACTAGTAGGTCGCTATGCGCATATCGCTGGATACGAGGAAGATACTAGCGCATGTGCAAGTAGCGAAGGACTCGGCAAAGGTCACAGGTGCGTAGCTTCTTAACGATATAAGGGCGCTAGGATTGATCGCTAAAGGAGTAGCGGTGGATCACCCCTAAAAATGTAGTCGGAGACTTCGACCATCATGGCCTGGAACACAATGCGGGATTTCAACAACATTAGCGGCTAGTTCTATGAGTGGTACCGACCCTACTCTTGGGTTGCACAGTCTTCTCAAAATCGTGTCGGCGTGACAACGCACCAGCGACAGCATTAATTCATCAGCTGTTCGACTCCCTAAAGTCAACTCAGGCACGAAGTGACAATTTTTTGACAATAAGTTTAAGGTGAGGAGGGTCTCCTCATCACCAAGTGCAGAGACACACCAGGATTGTGAGTCTAGAGCAACTTTCATCAAAAGATTTACGAATTCTTATGAGGTTGCTGTAGCAGAAGGGCGCTATGCCTTTAATGACCCTGCCTGTTTCATGGTCCATTCTGTTCGTGCGATTTCGCAACAATGTTGAACCCGTGTCCGTTGCCCTTCTTGGCAGACTTTCGATTAGTTCGCTTAGTCCTTCGAGACACTGAGTGTGGGGCACTGCACTCGTTGGCGAAGTGTCTTAGTTTTTGACAGAGATTGCACTTCTGCAAAATCGCTTGTTGTTCGAAGAGCGAAGTCTCTCGCTCTCAACATAACAGAGTTCCATAGATTCTGGATCTCCGGCTTCTTGTCGTCTTGGGGGACGGTAGAAACCTGAACTAGTATGGGATTGGCTTAGACTCAAGTCTCCATGTACCTCTACTGAGGTCGCTTCTTCAAGCGTATCCAGTTGCAGGAGGAACAGGTGGGCATTGACGGGAACATTCGCAAGACCCTTCATTAACGCCGTGATCAATGTATTTTCGTTAGTCAGTTTGGCCGTAATATAATTTGCAAGGAGCCGTATCTGTTGGGCGTAAGTGCGTACATAACGCTCATGATGCTTAAGCTTCAGGAGTTGGAATTTAGCCCTGAACTCAGCCCGTGGCAGCTCAAACATTCTTCTGAGCCGAGTATTAAAGACCTCCAGCAACATAAACTCCTATGGATCGCGCAATTTGAGACCGATTGCTCAAGTTTTGGCACGTCTTGCCACGTTCGATTAGGAAAATGCGACTTGCAGTTGCTCAACCACGATGTGACGAGCCCTTTTGGCGTCTTCTAACTCGACGAGACATATCAACAAGGTGTATTCATCGACTCCTTTGTACTTGGAGGTGTCAATCTTCAACGTTCGAATCAATGCGCATGCGTCGACCCTAGAACAGCTGTCTGTGCCTGCTGTTGTCGCAACATTTCAAACTGTTGAGCAACATATTCTCTCAACAGCTCTACCTGTTGAGAATATTGCTGGTGAAGCAGAGTTACTTTCTTCCGTGACGCGTCAAGTTCATACTGAATGAACTTGAAGGCGGCGGTATGCTGCTTATCTCTGTCCAGTGCGGACAGCATGACACATACGAAATGTCCACCGATGGTCGAACACATTCGCTCGACCACACTCTATTCGATTTCACTCGAATAGGCGTAGTTGTTACGCGTGGTGTGAAAGCTATCATCATCATGATCCAACATGTTCACGTTGGATGCAGGGATTACAGTTCTAATATGGACTGTAAAGTGGTACCAGCTGGAACGGGGCCCTGGTAACTTGTACGCACAGTACAAGTTAGCTTTCACTGACACAGTGTAAGCAGTGCAATGTGTCAATTTACGTACAGGTGTACGTGCAGAGGAAGACTAACTATCAAACACTTGCTTGATAGAGATAGAAAGTAAACTGGATTAAATATGATCAAGTCCTGATCATTACTCCGTGTTTGTTCCCAGATTGATTATGTGCATCTACAACAATGTATAGAGAAGCCCTGCTCACTACTCATTGCGCACTTCCATTATCAATTGGACCGCTAGAGTTGGCTGATATGAACCATCATATCTGCCAATAAATGAATGCTTGTGAATATTACCCTACGTGGTAATATTCCTGAATATTATCAACTGGTAAGATAATTGCGAGCCCAAAAGGTGAAGCTATTTGTGAGCGTGCGCAAGGCTGAATGCCAAACTTTTCGATCGTACTTAAATGTATGTCTGTGTGTGTGTCTGTGGGTAACGCGGTTAAGCGTACCTTACATGTACTAAGTGCGATCTGGCCTGTACCCCTCAAAGGTATTTAGGCATATCCGAAGTCTCTTTTTGGCTAGGTCACGATTGTGATACACACATGATTGGCTTAAAATCGATCAAAGGTGATTATGATCACAGGCAAATGCTAGACGCCTGTAAGCACAGGCCAACCGCGTTGTCCTACCATACTGTCTTCATTGAATACAAACATGAACAGCATTTTACTCATACTTCAGTGTCAGCTGTTGTATAGTGGTTCGCACTTTAATTCAGTTCTATGAACTGGATTACAAATATTAAAGGGCGAGCTCCAGAGCTTGCTCCCCTGTCTTGAGATAATCTATCGCAAAGCAATACAGGTTCTATGATTAGCATTGGAATGTCTAAGGTCAGTCGTGTAATGCGATAACACGTACGTGATGACCGAGACCTTGATAAATAACAGCGGCAGGGGCGCGTAGGTTCACTTCACGCTACTTGTTTCGTAGCGCCTTGCGTCTATTTCAACAAAACCTCGAAAAGAACTCCTTCCTATTGCTGTCAATGCGGCAATCGAAAAAAGAACCATTAGAACGAAAGCACGAACAACGCCCATCGGTAGCGTGACAACCGACAAACTAAAAACCAACTAACCCGATGAACTAACGTCGGAACCAGCCAAATAGCCTAACGATTGTATTTGTGACGATCGGGCTGTCAATTTGGAGAGAGATCTCACATCCAAACATCTCGAGCGTCGATAGGGTGCACCTTAGCCCCGCCGACTTCACACCTTGTCGAGGAGACGGTTAAAACCGCCGCGACGGTTCATGTACTGGCGGTACTCTCGCTTCGTCTCCCGTCGAGCGGTACCAGCTGCTGCACTTTTCCGATTTTCTTCCACTGGTTTGCCCTTGGTCGAGTCAAAGTCGCCAAAGCCCAGCAACAACTTCATCTGGTCTTCTTCACTTAAGTGCGACATGGTATTCGTCTCTTGTTTCAGCATCACGTCCGCCTCGTCCTTTGCTGGGTTTGTCTTTGTTGTCCTTTCATAAAAAAAAGGTAACAAAAAAGAGCTTTTTAGTCGCACACCTTGTGTTGGCATAAAACCCCAACAGAGCAGCATACTACCTCTCATTAGTTATACTTCCTCGACGAGTCGGCGAGCGGTACGTCGTCGCACGTCCTTGAGAGCGAGACATTGGCGAGCGACTGCGACTGTACGAGCGTCGACCACGACGATGACGACGACGCTCGACACTGAGGCTCCTGCTTCTACTGCGACTACAGCTGCTTCGGCGGCGACGCTTGTAGTCGGAAGAAGAGGAGCGGGAGCGAGAGCGCGAAGGGGGCACGGGACGACGGCGTCGATAGCTAGAGGAGGGAGGTGAGTCACGGCGTCGGTTATGACGACGACGGCGGCCTAAGCTGTCCAAGGACCCGCTGCGGCTTCGGCTGCGCGGCATGGTATATAACTAATCGGAGGAGAAGTGGTTAGAGGTTTCTCTCTGTAGGAATGTCCGACGGGCGGTAATAGGAATTTGTATAAATTTGCCAGATGTCTCCGATCAGTGCAGCAGTGCATGTGGATTTTTAACGGGTAAGCTGCACCTTTTGACAGTCGAAGTGTCGAGAAACAGTCTTTATCTATCGGTTACGCATCGCTCGAGCTGAGGATAAAGCTGAAGGTTTCGAACAGTGCGATTGAAGCCGAAAGCAAATCTTTGGACACATCTAGGCGCTTGAGAGTGGACAAGTCTAGAACCAAAGTCGATCTTGCTCTTCAGGTGCAATGGTTGACTACCAAGGAGAGAGACGCAGATTTTTCAACGTCGACATGGAGCTTCAGTACGTGAAGCTCCTCGAGCGTGATCTTGGCTTACACACCTTTCCCAAACTTCTGTTGCCTGGAAAAAGGTATCGGGTTCGCAACAGGGAGCACACCTTATGGCTTTCACATCTCCTTGATAACGTTTAGCCACAACCGAATACCACTGTGATATCTTCTCTCTCATCATATTGGCAGCAGTACGTTGGACGTCTCCATGTTCTTTGCTGTCAATATACACCTTCGTTCTTCCCTGTCCGTACTACCAAAGTCAGCATGATGTCCCGCTCACTCACTTCTGATTCGTAGCATATCTGTTTACTGGCGGTTACATTCCATCAAACGTATTCTCCATTTAACTCGGGCTTAGTACTCGATCGGAACGTGTCCGTAGCTTTGTACGTTGTGACCGCAAGTAGGTAGCACTACGACAGCAAAGTGGCTGGCAACTGGCTATTGAAGGCCCAGTGTCTGCTAATGGTAGTAACATCGTCGATTCGCCGATTACTGCTGCTTTCTGCAGCAACATCAGCTAACAGATATTCGTTGACGGGCTCTTCACTATACATGCTTGTTCATGTCTACTCATTGTAATGAGAACGCCTATTCACCACAACGACGCGACACGTGTGAAATCGATAAGCTCTTCCACGAACCGAGAGGTATCTTCGATGTCGTCCGGACTTCAAATTTTTCGTCGACGTTGGGGCTATGCAGGTAGACATGCTGCTCCTGCTTCTTTGGATACAAAAAAAGTTTCGTAGCGCAGTAATCACCACACGAAGAGCATGCTTTGCTGTACAGATTCAGCCTTCTTCGTCTTTATAGTGTGCGACGCGACTCCTTACTGTGAGACTAAGAGCATCTCACATGTACATACAGATGCAGCCGCTTGGAATACCCATTCCCACGTCTACCAGAAAACTGAATGCTGTACACTCGTGCCTTTCCCGCGTGTAGCACATATATCCCAACCATTTAGCAGCTTTTCATTGCCAAGCTGAGCAGAAACGTAATCTCTGCTTGACTAGTCATGACTGCTCTCTCTTCTTGCGGCATAATAGAAGATTCACGATATCGTCCATTTCGTTCTCCAACAAGCCACGATTGCCGTTAGTTGTACTATTGGTCACGAGGTGGCGAGAAAACAGTCATATCGGTCTATCCACTTGTATTGTCAACATTGTCTGGTCCGCGTCGTGTTCAAGTTGAGCTTGGCGTGTACCTCCACCCTGTATGACTCGACATTGCTTGTCGCCAGATTACCGCACGACGCTGCTTGCAATTCGATTTATGGTCACACCTGATACATACCGAGTATGCTTCGAGGTGCGGTGTTAGTCACTACTGGGCGTCACCAGCGTATCAGGTCAGATGCGTCATATCGCGCAAGCCGATACAGCAGCAGGCACAAAGAAATGGTTGGTGTGATACAGTCCAAACGAGAACTGTCTCATCACAAGTTTGACTGGCTCGTATTGCAGCCACCATCTGTGACGTCGATCCTCTGAAAATTCTTGTGCGTTCCTCGGCACATTACAAGCGAGACGATCGGATTCTCACGCGCTACCTTCCGCATGTATTGTGCTTGGATAGGGCATAATTGTATGAATCTGCAGAGCTCCCTCCAATACGTTATGGAGTTGATGGAGAGAGAGTTTGATAGACTAGTGGAGGCAAGAACTTATTGGATGTTGTAGGATAGTTAGCGCACGATATGGATTTATGAGAATAGAAGTCGGACTATCGCAAACCAAAGGAATATTTACCATCCCAACAAACTAAAAGCACCCAAAAATAAGACGGAAATGCAATTTTAAGGTCACTGATCTCCAGGCCTGGAGACAGAGCTCTTCATCTACAGGTTCCTGGGTAGACTTGGACATGCTCAAAGGTGTGCGATACGTTACCACTCCATTCCGTGTGATTGATGTTTTCGTGGAAGCTGTCGAGGTGCAGTGGCTTGGTAGAGTCTCCTTATACATGACATGTATCTTTCACTTATCTCATTGGCATGGAGCTTGACAATATCGAGGTCGTGCCTCTTTTGATCAAAGATTGGTCAAGGTCCAGCGGATGGATACCGCGGTCATGTCGGCGTTTCGAAGGCGCTATTGCCTGTACCATTTAAAAACGAAATAGATGGTAACGAGCGTGAGGAGGTCAGCAATCTAAACAACGAGGACCTACGTACTTCTACGCGCTAGCTAGTATCGATATCATCCTCCGACGTTGTCAATTTTTCATGCAACGATGCCACCCAAGTCCAAGATCTCTCCAACTGCTACGAGGAGTGAAAGCGAAACAAGAATGGTACAAGAGCGATCGAGGAGGCGAATCACAAGCTGGAGAGACATACAGCCATCAACATAGCTCGGTGGCCACAGAATTTAACAACTTACGCGAGGTTACAATCAAATGAAAAACAACATATCAGAGGGAGAGCCCGGTACAGAACCTCGTCCTGCCCAGGAGCGTCGCCTCTGCGACAAACGAGCTCAAAGTCGGGATGGGCCGACTCGGTCTCAGTTCAACACTATGGACACTTTTGAAAAAGCGAGCAAGCAGCTGTCACATCGACGGACTGATGAAGTTCACCGTGCCAAAAAACACACTGGATCCCGTCAAGTTGTCCCAGACCTTGCAAGATGCGATCACCGAGGAAGCCGATACGGTCGTGCGCGAAACCGTTGCTGCGAGCAAGTTTTTCGTCTCCAATTTGGCATCCAAGCTCGACCCCACGCACTGGAAACTCGTTCGTACAAAAGACGGTGTGCAAGTGTTTCGCCAACGACAAAAAGCCATTGACCACCAGGCTCCCGATGTCTTCAGCTCGCCTTTGATCCAAAGCTCATTGGGGTCGCACCGTCACGCCATGTCACGGTATTGTTCAAGGGACAGCAAAAGCAGCTCGACGCAAGACCTTTCGGGTTCACAAGCATTTACTTTTACGCCATCTGGTATTGCGGAAGACAGTGTCATGGAAAAGATGAGACCACCGGAAATTGCTCTGATGGCCCTCCAAGGCACCATTGATGGGTCACTGGACGACTGCATGTTTGGGGTCATTACTGCGAACGATGCAGAGTGGAGGCTGCGGAGCTCCCACATTAACGAACGGTTTAATAATACCTGGGTCCTTGCAACCATCAAGGAACCGACCATTCAAAACCCGTGCCAATTTCTTGGCGTCAAATGGTTCACGAAGAAACTCCCTGCTGTCCTTTCGGGTGTCATGCAGGAACGAGATTTTCTCGTTATCGAATCCGTTGGCTTCACGCGCGACTCGGGAGGCGAGCGAGTTGGCTATATCATTCTCCACTCGGTGACACTACGAGATATCCCGGAATTCACCCATTTAGGCATGGTTCGTGGTAGCATGAGCTTCTGCCACATCTTCCGTCAAAGTGGACCTGGAAAAGTAGACATTTTCAGCCGAGGCTTCTTTGACTCTCGTGGTGACATGCCGGGTCGTCTATCGGTTGCAATTGCCGCAGAGGCGGCCATTTGCTGTACTAATTTGGTGGAGCTTGCTTACATGAAGAAGCTCCGGTGGCTTATGAGCAAATTAGGCAAACAGAACCAGCGTCAAGGAGAGAGTCGACCCTGTCGGTGTGAAGCATGCGGAAACAGTTTTTCCAAGTTGTTGCTGAGTTCAACTGGATCGGGTGTGAACTGTCAGATATGCTACAATGTTGTCTGTGCCAAGTGTACTGTGGCCAAGAAGATCATCATGGACGTCTTAGTCTCTGGTGCAGTCGAAGAGGGAACGTTCCACTTCTGTCTCAAGTGCTTCATGACCGCAAAACAACGGTCTGGCTGGGATATGGTAACGAGTGACTTAACGCATCTGTCGAAGCATCCGACTCAATCAGCTTCGACCTCAGTCTTGGAAACCTCGAGCACCTCAGAAAGCGTTGCACACGCGTAATGGTCGATCCCATTTTCCGGTGCTCCTGGCCGGGACGCAACATCGTCGGTCATTTGAATCGACATCATCGTGCGATCAATCAATACACGACCGTACAACAACAACAATAGTCTCTTGATATGCCCAACGACTAGACGACATCCACCTGTCTGTCGCAACACAACAGCTTGTCAGTTTGGACACATATCGAGTCAGCGCGAGCTCCTACAACAGAAGCGGCGGGCGCTCGACTACTTGGTCAATGTACGCACACACCATCGACATATGGCGATGCTTGTTGGCTCGTGTTCCTTGACGATCCCACACTCTCTTATCGCCGTCACTGCCGCGACTTCCACGCCCCCTGTCGTCCACTCGTTCTGTACGTTTCCTCCTCTTCGTACTGGCTTTCGTTCCGGCTATAGACGTTCGTTGCAATCATGACTGGCGCCTCACAGCACGACTTGGTCCGACGGCCGTTTTTGCTGCTGACATGGCTGACAATCTGCAGCCCGAGCGTTCTCGACGAACCGATCTGCCAACGTTTGCTCCATTAGTAAGTACCGCTGCACCTTCCGAGGTTGGCAGCGGTTGAAACCGTGTCAGTACGACGACATGGACACGCCTGTTCAACGAAAAGTGTGCTCCTATGAACCGAAGCCTCTCATGCCTTCTCCAGTCCATCATGATCTTGTCAAACACACCTCCTTGATGTTCAGTCGAGTGAACTTGCACCTGCCCAACAAGAAGCTACGACAGCTACGAGGGGCCAACTCGGAGACAGACAGTAGCTCCGTTGACCCAACGAGTGCTTGTAATCTTTTGCCATCCTCGTTTCACGTTGTGCTAGTACAACCGACGCAAGGGGGAGGTGAAGCCTCACAGAAGAAGAAAAAAAACGTCAAGGCGATGTCGTCGACTTTCTGCAGTACGTTACAGCAGCAACGGCCTTCGACGCATGGATGCAGCTTGAGACCGCGTGCGTCAGTGCTAGTGGCTTGACGAGGTGTCGACCGCTCGAAACATCCAGCAGCAGCTCAGTGCGACTCACCTCTCTCCTTTGTTGGCTATTTGTTTTCTGTGGAAATCGAGCATACAAACTTCGTGTCAGCGGAGAATCCCGGCACATTCTGCAGCATACAAACGCAAGTCATTTGGAAATATCGGCACATTCAGCACGCACGTCTTGGCTAGAAACGCCACCCATCCGCCGGCTGGCTCACAATCTCTTCCTCTCCATCTCAAAGCTGTTCAAGCTGCTGCCGCTCGTCCGCTCGACGCCTCAGTCTCTCGAAGAACTCCTTCACTCCCGCATCCGATCAACTTCCCACAGACGACTCCATTCATCCATCTCACCTCCATGAAAGTGGTTCACGTCCTCCTCCTCGCGGCACTAGCTGTCTCTAGTGTATCGGATGCTGCGACTACCCCTGCCACGGCTACTGCCACCGCAGCTGAACCTGCTGCTACGACCTCCGCCACGGAACCTGCTGATTCAGTGGCTGAGACCTCGGCCACCGCTGATTCTCCTCCTGCTGAAAAAGCGGACGACAAGAGCTCTACAGCTTCCGTTGATGAAAAGCCAACGCCAAAGCCAAAGTCACCGCCTTCTGACGACACTCCGTCGCCCACTAGTGTGTCGTCCAGCTCTAGTGGTGACACTGCTCCTGTGGACTCGGCCTCTGGCTCGGCCGCTGACGTCCCGTTAGACTCGACAGCTGACGTCCCGTTAGACTCGGCATCTGCTGAGTCCGACTCGATGTCAATGAGTGCATCAGCGTCAGCTGAAGGCTCGGAAACACCGGAAGAAGACGAAGGGACGGCGCAGACGAGCTCTGACGAGGGTCCTACAGGCGAAGGGGGCGGCGCGATCCCGCCTCGTCTTGTCCCGCTACCGTCTAGTTCATCAGATGCAATGTCACAGATGACGGCTACGATGGGCTCTGTGGCGGCCATTGTCATTGCGGTCGGTGCTTATTTCCTATAGAGTTGAAACACATCAAGAGGTCGACGTAGCTCGAATACTGCTGCGAAAGCGACTGGCTCAAACGGGGGGAAGTAAGTAGCTCAAGTGAGCTAGTAACGCCCGTACCATCAATACGAATCTTTTTGCTCCTTAAGTTGGGCGTCGATGGGACGTTGTTGCATGGGTACATGTCCGATTCCTCGTGTGAGGTTATGCCAACGAATGCCGCTACAAAACCGTTTGCGGTTGTGTTAAAGTTCAATAGCTGTCACCTCCAAATTACGAGTTCTCTGCCGACACTATAGAGATTACAGCTTACATTTCGATCATCTGTTGGGTGTCTTCTGCATCACCATCGCTAAATCTGCAAAGTGCTTTCATTAATTCGTGTAGCAACGAAGTTCATCACGTCTTCACTCACTTGAAATCGTGCTGCATGTACAGGATGATCTTATCGGTTCTCATTTGTGCAGAATGCTTTCATGTTTCTCTCCTGTTAATCTATGTGTACGTCGTATCATCCTCGCGGAAGCGAACAAAGCGCAACGTGTGATGATGCTCTGTGATGGCGTTGCTAGTCGTGGTGGTAAAACTCACCCAGTGGTCTATTCAGCAGAGCTCTGAAGCCCTGCTTGCTGTTTGTGTGTCTGCAAATTCACCTGATCGCGCACCTGTGACGCCTTGCGCAGCAACTGAATCATCTGCTCCTTCAACACCATATCTTCCTTCTGTCGTTCGTGACCTTGAACAACCATAGATGTCTCCGAGTAGCTACTCAGCGGCACGAGATCCGAAGATTCGACCCTGTTAGAAGTTTGCCCGCCATGCTGACGTGTTGGTACCAGCTGAGACGACGCCATGGCACGCGCAACCTTATTCTGTGCCTCCCGTCGCTCCTGCACCATGACCATTGCCAAGTGTGCCAAGTTCTGCATCGTCGCGATCTGCGACTCCTGCAGCGATTCACGAGGTGCTGTGTCCAACACGCACACTGCACCAACGCACTCGTTGTCCACCGTAAAAAGGGGCGCCCCAGCCAAGAACCGCACACCAAGCGGCCCGGTCACGAACGGGTTGGACCTGAACCGTGGGTCTCGCAATGTGTCCATGACCACAAGCGGTCGCTGATCACGAACCGGGTACTCACAAAAGCTAAAGTCACGCGGCACCTCAGACTCTTTGACGTTCACCGCACTCTTGAACCACTGGCGGTTCTCGTCAACGAGACTAACGACAGCGTATTTGCAAGCCAGTGTCTGAGCCGCTAGATCACAAAGCGTGTCGTAAATGTCCACCTGCTCTTCAGTATTTCCACCCACACCTTTCTCCTGAACATCGACGCGTACTCGCTCCATCAACGCATTCACCATAGCCTTGCTCTCTTCATCCCGAGCTGCAAGCTGCTGCAGCCAAGCGATCCCAACGAGATCCGGCACTGTCGATACTTGAGCACCTGGTAGCGCCAAGGCATACTCTTCCACTGCATCCCGCAAGACCGTAGTGTCTACACCCTTTGGAATCATCACGCCTTCAGCCGACATTCTATTGACAGCAGCAGAAACCGTGCCAGTTCCTGTAGCTCCAGTGTCTCCATTTGCTGTCTCCTCTTCTTTCTCCAGTCCAGTAGCAATTGTCGACGTGCCGTCCATACAAGCTTTACACACTCGAAGAGTGGTGAGCCCAACCGACTGCAAGTTCACGCTCTTGTAGACGGAACACACGCGACAAATAATCTCGCCACAAGCTCGACAGTGATGTTTCCGTCGGGTGTTGGTAAAGGTCTTGAGACACAAATGACAGCACGCGCGGTCCTTGTCATTGACCCACGTCGGCACGCGTCGTTTCGTCAATTCCTTGGAGATCCGTCGACGGCTAATGGCTTCTTCAATGCCGCTCACCGACTCTGCCCAATGAGCCAAGAGCGCCCGATTCCAGCGTCGCTTGGCTCGAACTCCTGGCGGTTGCCGGATGCTGCATACAAACGTGGCTTCCACCACGCCATCTTCCACATGGGGACGAAAGATAAAGCCACACATGGACACAGAAGCTCGTTCCAGTCGGTGGGAGTCATAGAGCAAAGGGCACTCGGCTTGGTCAATGGATTCGTAAAGACAGACGCCAACCGACGTCGACTTGGTCTGGCCGGACGACGACGAGAGTGACATGTCACTAAAGCCCGTACTCGGCCGCAAATAGCCGGCTTTTCCCTCCAGAAACTCCGACGACACGACTCCCGCGTATTCGAGGAAGCAAAAGTCCACTCCGACTTGGCCGCCGAGACTCGGGACACTTTTCTTGGTCCGTGCGGCCGTCCACTTGATACTTAACGACTCGGAGTCGTTCTGGTCCTTGTGGAACAGCACGGCCGCGTCGGCAAAGAACTCGCGCAGCTGCAACTGCATGAGCGAGCGGTAGTCGAGCGTCGAGGGCGCGAGGAAAATGTCCATGACGTCGTCGAGCGTCGCCCGGACGGTCGTGACCGCTCGGATCGAGTACGTGAGTCCGCCTTTCTGCCGGTCTTCACATAATTGCACGCCCTTGCGCTCGTAGATCATGGTCCACTCGACGTCTGGCTGCCGTACGAGGTCCGGCACGAGCGAACGGGCCCAGACGAGGAGCTCCGATTGCTCCGTGTCCGAGAGATCGGGCGACTTGAAGAAGCCGCTGCGCAGAGGGAGCGACCGCACCATCGAGAGGAGGGGGGCAGTGGAGAGATGGAGGTGGAGGGGGGGGAAGGTGGGATGGGATGGAGCTGGTCAGGTGGGAGATGGCGTGTGAGTGTGTATATAGAGTGTGGGGTGTCGTCGTCCGGATGGAAGTGCACGAACGGACGTATGTCGATTTGTATGGCGATTTGTATGTCGATTGGTGTGGGTGTGTGATTGTGGGTAATGAGCATGTATGCTTGTTTGTATGCCTGAATGTATGTGTGTTTGTATGCCTGAATGTATGTGTGTTTGCATGTGTGTGTATTTATAGAAATGTGTGTGTGAATGTGTCTGTCACCTGAGCGACAATGTGGCGACTGGCCCTATTGTTGTGCTCTCGTAAGTCCGTTATTTGAAGATTGCGGTCGTCCGGTGACTCTAGCCTTGCTTAGCGGGGCAACGCGCCGAGCGGTGTTGTTACGTCGCCACGTGGCACAAGAGATCATCGAGTGCTGTCGATGGTCGCAAGTCTAAACTAAAATGTGTGCCATCTGCCATCAGCCACGGACGACTGGTGGGTGTGACCAAGGCGGGGCGATATCTTACATCGTCGTGGTATAGACGAACCGCATCTTGACGCAGTGGTCATTGCAGTCGTCACTCTTTTTTCGTGACAGCAACACACAAAGACAAACACTCTTTCCCCCACAAGTGTGCCAGCCACTTCACTGCCTCGTCTCTCTTTTCGTTTTCTCCCTCGCTCTCTCTCACTCTATCCCTCCTCAACTCAATATCATCTTTTGCAAGGACAAATTATTCGACGCGGCTTCCATTATTCTCTGGAGCCTGTGCCGGCTCACTGTAGAATGTAGCCATGTGGGGCAACTGCACAGGAACGATCGGCAGCAGAACGGAAGACGCGGTTTAGACCGTGCTATAAGCCGCAGTGGCTGAAGGCACAACTTGAGGATTTTCTATTGACTGTAATTGTAGGAGAACGGAAGAGCCAGAACGCCAATCAGGAAGCAGTATCTTTCGTCATGATCGACCGTGTGTACCCATATCAGTTAGCTGATGATGTGTCGTGGGTTTGCCCGAAATGGAAGGTGTGAGATAGAAATGAACAACCACCAAACTCGACTGAAGGCGATACCTTCTTAAGTACGAAACAAAGAGTCAGTTTTCATGTGGTGGTGTTCGTGCTTCTGCCACGGCACGAAACTTTGGTGTTAAGAACAGAACAGACACGCCCATGTCCCGGATTGCAATTCTGTTTACTCCGGACCGCGATTCTCCTATGCAGTTTGCAAGAGCGTAAACTCACGTACGACGGATCAATTTGCAACGTCAGTATTAAGTTTGCACGAAACAGTGAATAAGAGCCATTTCTCTGTAAACGAGCTTGTCATATGGGAAGATGTTCACATACTGTAGGCATGGATCTTTAATATTTAAACATAAGCTACAGACTTCATCATTTGTCACAAAATACAGCAGATGTGCTGGTTTTGCATACAGGATAGTAGGCTTTGACTTCGAAAAAAACATGCCGTCGAGTGCCAGAGCTTCCAAGCGTACGTATGTAGCACGAGCAAACAGCTGGCGCCACTTCCAATCTATGCGGACCAGATGCAGATTGATCTCCTTTGCTAATTTGTACGTCATCACGCGCAACATGCCTTCAACAAATTATAGTCCTCATACCTTCGATACCAAAAAAGCGCCGCTCGTATCGGCCTCGTCGCTGCAAGCCGGCCTGGCTTTACCCGTTTGAATTGCAGAGACCATCACTCTCGCCCGAGTCCCCCCATCCACCACCCCCTCTCGCTCCGCCTCCTCCCGCCCCCCTTTTCCTCTGCGACGGTCATTATTCGACCGTTCAGGGGGCAAGGTCAGAGCAAAAACAAGAGCCAAGCAAGCAGGCCGTCAGTAGTCTTCAAGCCACCGCAAAGGCAACGAACGACAGCAGCCATTGCACACAGTGGGGGCGGCAAGCAACCCGACTGCCAACACACACTGCGAAAAGGAAACCCCTACACCCACCCACCCACCGACCTTCACTCTGCATCCACCCGTCTCTGCCACGACGACACGTAGCGCGCGCAGTGTCGCATTCACTCCGTACCCACCAGGTGCGTTTCAGTGGGCGCGCGCACCACCAATTCAAATCTTGTATACCACCAAAAGGAAACGAACTCACCGCGTCCTTTCTGCGTCTTGCCCTCTTCGTTTCCTTTCTCCTTTCCTTTCCGTCGTAGCCACCAATCAGCCCGCGCCTCGTCATGTACACGTCGTCCGCGCCCGGACCAACCCGCGGACGCGGCGGGAATCCGAACGCCGTGCCGCCGCCGCCCCAGACCCAGCAACTCCGTGGTCCGTCGTCTGGGAACCCTGGCGCGCCGCCGCAGCTAGCGACCGCGGCCACGAGTCGCGTCGGTGAGATGCTGGACCAGGTCAAAGTCGAGTACGAAGCCGCGATCCAGCAGCTGAACATGGCCAAGATGGAGCAGCTCGAAGTCGAGCGCAAGATCCAGTCGCAAGTGGTCGAGATGGACCAGATCCAGCAGTCGCTCAAGGCGCTCGAAGCGAACCACCGGCGCATCCGCCAGCAGTACGAAGAGGATATGCTGCGCATGCGGCGACAGCTGGAGACGGGCCAAGGCGCGCAGCTGCCGCCGCCGCCGCAGCAACAACAACAGCAGGTGGCGCCGCAGCAGCAGTCGGTGGCTGTCAAGCTCCCGAGCAAACGCTCGCGCGCTGGGCCGTCGAGCAACAGCCTCCAGGAGGACTCGTCGTCGCTCATGTCGAACCTCGTGGCAGCAGCCACGTCGTCGAACCGCGCGGGCAGCAGCAGCAGCACGAACCAACAGCAGCAGCAACAGCGAGGGGGCGCTGGGTCGCCTGTCCGTGTCGTGCCTGTGCAGCCAGCGTCCCGCAGCCTGCAGCAATTGGGCCAACAACCGCCGCCCTTGCCCCCGCCGCCACAACAGGGAAGCGCGAGCAACGCGCCGCCGCAATTGAGTCCGTTGGACACGAGCAACGCCACTGCGTCCATGTCGTCGTCTCGTCGCATGCCGAGTCTGAACAATGACGTGAATAGCAAAGACCGCGTCGTGAACGCGTCGTCGTCGTCGCCGCCGGCGTTGAAAAAGTCGAAACTCAATGGCTCCGAGTCGGGCATGTCGAGTTTGAACGGCAATGGCAAGAGCACGTTGCCGTCTGTTAGCTCGTCGGCTGCTGCTGGTGCTGGTAGTAGCGGGGGCAACAGTGCCATGACGTCCAGTGGCATGCTGTCGCAAGTGTCGAAGCTCAATCGGGAGCAGGGATCGACGAGCTCGAACTCGAGTCCACGAGCTGCGGCCAGTGTGAACCAGTCGCAGACTTCAGCGTCGAGCTCGATGAAGGCGGAGAACGAAGCGGCGGATAGTCGCGCGGGGATGAGCTCCACGACGGCGTTGTCGGCAGCAGCGGGCAACAACACGACGCAAAAGAGCTCGAACACAAAGGCGAGTCGACTGAACTGGAGCTGTGTGTACTCGTCCAAGACGAGCATGTCGTACCAGGAATCCGAGCGCCCAGCGGCTGAGATGCACCAGTCGATGGACCACCAGAGTGTCGTGTGCTGCGTACGCTTTTCGTCGGACGGGACGATGATGGCGTCCGGCTGCCACAAGACGGCGCAGGTTTTTGACGTCAAGACTGGCGACCGCAAGTTTCTCGTGTCTCGTCCTGCTGGATCAAACGGACTGACGCCTACATCGCAGGCCAATGCTGCGGCAAATGAGGCGGACGACGCCTACGTTCGAGCGGTGTGTTTCTCCCCGGACTGCACGAAGCTGGTGGCTGGTATGCCGCAAAATACCATTCGAGTGTGGGACATTGCGTCGAATGAGGAAGGCCCAGCTATGACTGGCCACGAGTCGGAGATTTATTCGCTGGATTATGTAAACGACCTGATTGTGTCTGGATCGGGCGACCGCAAAGTGCGGCTCTGGGACGCGCGCAACGGCCAATGCAAGAAGATTTTTGGCAATGAGAGCGGCGGTCCGTCGGACGGCGTGACGTCTGTGGCGCTGTCGCCGGATGGACGACTGTTGGCAGCTGCGTCTTTAGACAAGGTGGTACGGATTTGGGACACAGAGACAGCGCAACTACTGGATCGACTGGAAGGCCACAGCGACTCGGTGTACTCGATTGCGTTTTCGCCCGACGGCAAGAACGTGATTTCAGGCTCGCTCGATCGCAACATTATGTTGTGGGATGTGTGCGCACAGGGCCGGACGACTACACGACCGCGCATGCTGTTCCAAGGCCACAAGGACTTTGTGCTGTCAGTGGCTTACACGCCAGATGGAAGGTGCGTGTCGTTATTGCTGTTGTTATATTCGTTCTGCTGGCTGTAGATCTATTACTAATTGCACTGTGGTGTTGCGGTACGATCAGGTGGTTGATGTCGGGTTCGAAGGATCGGTCGGTGGTGTTCTGGGATCCGCGTTCGTCGCGGTCAGTGCTAACGCTAACGGGTTACCGGAATTCGGTCATAAGTGTGGCGTCATCTCCAGCGTCCCCCTACTTTGCAACGGGAAGTGGCGACTGCTTTGCCGTGATCTGGAAATATCAGTGCCAGACATTTTAAATATACAGGGAGGACGCTGATGGAGTCGACGCCACGCCGTGCAGCGCTCGTCACAGTACATGCAACCGAGTGGATCGGCCAAGCAGTGCAAGTGAGAGCAGCGTTTGCTTTTGGCAAGCCACGCCAGTGTTGATGGTGTTTACGCTGGTAACGAGCGCGCACGTGCGCAACGACGGAGCTCGGCAACAGTAGAAGAAAAGGAGGCATTGGATCGAATCAAGACGAAAAAAGAGATATAACAGTTGTGCAATGGCCGCCAGACCATCGGCAGAGCAAGGAGTCATCGTAGCGCGCAAAGCTGCAGCACGTGGCGATGCGATTGTTCCTGCAGTGCGTGAAAAGACATCGGATAGGATAGTGCGTGTGTATATGCAACGTCGTGTGCAATGGACATGGATTCAAAAAAAACCACCCACCCACCCACTTCATCATTTGACCAGCCAGCTCTTGTTCCGGTTGCGTCCGTTCGTTTGTTCCGCCGTAATCACTCCTCCATCCAGCGAGCGACCCCCACCAGTCAATCGTCGTCCATAGCTCCCCACGCACCAATCAAAACGCGCCATTCGAGACGAATCAGCCCAACCAGAACCAGACGACATCAAGGAGAAATGCTGCACGTTCTCGCAACGCGCTCCCGCTGGGTGGGGCATCTCCATCCACGCCCTGTCGCTCCTCCAGTCCGTACGCGACGTGTTGTCGACGTCCAGACGCGGCACTTCGCGTCGGACTCGCCATCCCCGTCTCGTCCACCTCTGACGTCGAACACTCTGAGCGAACCCGAAATGGTCCGACGTCTCATGCGCAGCCAACGCGTGTGGTGGTGGATGGGGTCCCTGGCGCTCGGGGCCGTGGCGCTCGTGGCGTTTGGACCGGAGCTGAAGCTTGGCGTGAGCAAACACACGGCTGACGTGGCGTCGCGGTCGTTGCAGGACGAGACGCTGCGGGATAACACACGCGAACTGGCGTCGCTGATTGTGCAGACGGTGCTGAACGATCCGAATGTATTGGATCAAGCGTCGCGGTTCTTGCAACGAGTATGGAAACGGTTGGACTTGTGATGGTTTTTGTTGTTGTTGCAGTTGGACTGAAATGATTGCACCTACTGGAAGGTCGTTGTGGATGGCAAATGGTGCAATCGATTCAGTACGAGTGGGAGTTGCTGGTGGATATTGACGACGGCTGATGTTGTTTATTTGTCGTGGTCTCTTGTTGATGGCGTGTGTTTTTTTTTCTTCCTTCGTTGTAGCTCGCTGCAATGGAATCGACGCGGGATGCGCTGCAGATGCTGGTCGTTCATACGCTGAACGATCCCATGACGAGGTTCCAGATGGCCGAAGTGAGCAAGTGCACTCTTGCGGCCATTTTGGAGGATCCAAAGACGTTGCGACAAGTTGTCGGGTTGCTGAGCTCGACAGTAGCTGATGCTCAAGCCAAAGAGTTGTTGCTGTTGCTACTGCAGCAGGTGATGCGGGACGACCAGACGCGAGCAAATGTGACGCTGATGGTGGCTCACACGTTTCTGCAAGATGCAGTGAAGCAGAATGTGGGCCAGACGCTTGGAGATGCAGTGCATGACGTTTTGAGTCGAAAGGACATTCAGGAGCATGCGAAAGAGTTTGTGAGTAGCGTGGTGCGAGACCAGACGGTGCAAGTGCAAAGTGGCGAAGCCATGTGGAGTACTTTCATGTACGCGCTCACGCCCGGTTGGCTCTCGTGGATATGGGCGAATCCAGGTGAGACGCCGGAAGAAGCGGTGCTCACAACACCAGCAGCAGAGGTTGCGTCTGTGGTGTTAGCGGCGACAGCTGCAGAAACGGAGCGAGCGCAGAAGAAGAAGAAGGAGAAAGACGCACAGACGGAGACGCTCGAAGGAGCTCGTTGAAGCAGAAGGAGACGTCATGAAGTGCGGGCGTAATGTATTGCAAGCGGATGCCAGCATTTCGTACAGCATCACGAGAAAATGGAGAAAGTGCTTGTCGATTTGTGACGTTGCGTGGACGGACGAAACAAGCAGTGAATAAACGATGGCAGCGCAGTAGACTTTGACGAACCGACCGAAGAATTGGCACTGGAATGGAAGCGTCGACAGTGGCTTCATCCGGGTCATTCTGGAAAGGCGAGGCTTGTCCAGCCTTAACGGGTCAAAGGAGCGGGAACGAGGGACGAGATTGCCGAGTACTCGGACACTGTTTGCGCGTTGACGCGTGGAGTAGAAGTGGCCGTAGACGCGTGTCAGGGTGATGCACTTGAAGGAGGAACTGGTGGTTCGGGCGACCAAAATGCATCTCTTTCTCGTACCAAATGTCGGTTGCCTTGATGCACCATACTTCTTCTTGCGATGGGCAGCAGTCGCAGTGCCTCGTACAACGCGGGAGTTCAATTTCGCATCGTCTGTAGCGATGTACCCGTTCAGCTTGCGTTTCCGCCCACTGTCGATGGCTACTCGTGCATCATTTGCCATCGATGAGCAAGCTTGTTCACTTGGACCCTTTTTATTTCAACTTTCGGCAAGCCAGGCTGTCAGAAATGCCGCAGATCGACGTAAAGCGTAGCTTGCGAAAGCGTGTCATCCTCCGCATTCGAAATGGTGCAAACTGAATCTTGATGTACGTGGGCACACGCTTTCTCGGGAAGTTCCTTGTCTGACTGGCTGTTAGTAAAGACGACCGTGCCGATGACGACAAGAAGACCGTTATGAACGTACCATGACGAAGCTTTCGTGCACGGTGGCCTAATCGTGTTCTTGCAGCTGGTTTTTCCCACAATGAAAGCTTTGGCCAACTCCGTCGTTTCCACTGATTGAGGTTGAAGATAAAATTGGTACTGCTGTCGGGGTGATGCAACCGACAGCATCGGTGAGATTGACGTTTTTCATACGCGCTACAGACTTGGAAGCAGACGACGAGCGAGCTGTATGTGGTCCTGTCCACTGTTGCTGATTTCTTGACCCAGTTGTAACCTAGCCGGAGTCACCGTACCTGGTTCAGAAGTAAAATGTGCAAGAAATGACCGAGGACAATACTGATGCCAAGCCGGAACTTTACATCAGATGGCCATGGCCCTTGCGGGATGGGCAGAGTCCCAGTCCCGACCAAAGCACCGCTACGACGCGAACCAGAGCCTAGAGAGCCATGAGCCGTTGCCAGCGCGTATCGCTCGATAAGCGAAACTTGCATGCAAGCCGTCAGTTGTTCTGCAGGTGAAAGCTATAGAGAGAGCCTCAAAACTACAGGATTTGCTGGACGCTTTGCGTTGGCTACTTCCAGGACATTTGCCAGCTTCCTCAGGGTTCTCGAGCCTCTTTACGAATGATATAGACGTCATCTTCACTTCGCTTCTTCATGCTCGCCGCAACCAACAGGTACTGCCGGACATTTCGTGTTGACCCCTAACCGACCATCAGCTCATGGGTAGGTTACTCGACACGCATCATGGCATGCGTGAGCCTGAACATCAAAGAATGCTGCCCGCGATAGCAACACGCATGCAACTTAGGACACCAAATGAGGCAAGTAGACTCACCCGGTCAATATTTCTAGTGCCACATGCAGCAAACGTCAGCTATGCGCACGCTTGTCTTAAACCTGGTCACGACGAATATAAAACAGCACATATGCTCGCGATGACACGGCATTCTCTGCTGACGTCTGACTCGTGTGGCTATCGTTGAAGTTGAACCAGCGTTTGTTTTCCGGATTCTTCGCAACAGCAGTGTAGTGACCGCCACCTAGACCACCCACGTGTTCGGATACTGCATACAGATCGTAGATCGGCTTCAAACCATTTTGCGGTCCGATCACAAACTCCGAGAGATCCAGGCCTTCGACAGGAAACTCTACCAGTGTCGAAATCTTGTCACGATGCAAATAAAACGAGTTCTGTGCATACCGAAAGCGCTTCAAGTGGAAAATCAAGACTTTGGGAAGCGAGAAGAGGTCAAACTTCTTGAACGCGCGCACGTGCTTTTTGCACTTGGGGCAATACCACGTATTCGCTTCACCAAGCTGCTCACATTCCGTAAACTTCGTCAAGCAACTTCGTAACGTGATGGGGTCGGGCACCGGCGATATTTTCAGGCTTTCCATCGACTGGTGAAGTGCTACTCGCTTTGCTGACGTTTCATCGTATCCTCGGTGGTAGCTGTAAACAAAACACAATTAGTGGATGGTGAGGATAGATCAACAACCTGTAACCTTTTTGGTCGTACCCATTGCGTTTCCACTCAAGCGTAAACCTAAATGGCGTACTCGTGCTATCGGGAACATCCACAGCATCGTCATCGCGGGACAGGTCACTCATAAAAATGGTGGCACCCTTAGGGTCTGTCACGTGCAAACGATATGGTAACTGCTGGTCCCTGCGACAGCCATAATCAGTTCCAGAGTCATTTCCAGATTTCTTGGTGGCTACGAGGCGATGCACAATCTGCCATACTTTTCGATGGATTTCAGCTTTTGTCCATTTCTGGCCGATCGACACAAGAAGCGGCGTGTTGAATAGCTCGACCTCTACTCGCCGCTGCTTCGATCCATATCGGTCTTCGCCCCGTTTGCCATTGGCATCATTTCGCCCACCCACTGGTGACGCAACAGGAGCCAAGTGCAGCAGCTCTACTAGGTGCATTCGCTTTCCTGCTACTGGCTCGGATACTGTCGTGCCCAATCCTTCGTGGCTATGCAGAGGGCGGATCGCAGGTGATGAGAACGAGTAGTCTGTCATCGGCAATTCTAGCTCGTATGCGTGCAAGACGCCGTTACGCAGGCGGTCGATATGCATCTTGTCGGAATAGGCTTTAAGAATTCGATGATTCCATACCTCGACGAAGATAATTCGCGAGATAGGAATACTTGCAAGCTCGCCCAATTTCACCTTTGCATCTCGTAGAGAACAACCGTGTTTCGGAAGACGCATAGCGTACTTCATCGGGATGTTGCCATTGGCCCAGAACAACTGCACTTCTATCGTAAGTGTTTCGTTGGTTGTAATCGGCACCGACAAACTCATGTAGGGATCAAAAGTGATCGACTCATTCCCGCAAGCAGAATTTGAGCACGTCACGTGACTTCGAAGCTGCCCCATGAAGTTGTCCACGATAATGCTGTCGTTACGACGCAAGAATTGTTTCCATTCCTCTTGCGCTACTTCCAGATCACTACGACCTTTTCGCTCCACAGGCTTAGTATACGGCTTCGACTTGACACGATTTAGGTCTTCATGTAAGCCATCTAATAAGAAGTTCATAAGCTCTTGGCTATCTTGCTGTTGATACCCTGCGAACTGGGGTGCATACTGGCCGATCACAGATTTCAATTTAGTTGGAGTGACAGTTTTGAATTCGTTGCTCCACATCTTGCGTAACAAGCTCGCAAAGTCAACCGCCATGATACCTTTCATACCTAGCGGATTATCTCGGTTGATCTCCTTTGTAAAAAAGGGTTTCCCCGTCACGGGATCCTTCATAAGAAAATACTCTCGAAGCGGCGATGTGTTGATCAAGCACTGCAACATGCTATTCATGAAACACGTGTTCCCTAAATTAGAAAGCCCGACAACGCCCTCGAATTCTGGACGACCTCGTTCAGCATCGTAGTCCTGTCCGTATCGCGATATAGAACTTGCAGGCACAAAAGAAGGCACGTGCGACTTGTCAACTCCAGAAGCATTGACTGCCTTGTGCGTGCCCACCGGACATAGTAGTTCATCCTGTGCATCGATCCACCGCCTCACACCATCCACATTGATCTGAATCCGGAGCGAGTCGTCGTTGATGGCCCTTTGGCGATCGATAACATTGGCAATTCGCCACTCTGGAAAGGGCCTATCATCTACTTCCCTGCCCACAAGAATTTCGTCACCAACCTGAAAATCGCGCCAGTTCGGAACCTTAGTGTGCAACGGTGCAATACGCGTTGATGTACGCTTGATCCACTCGTCCCATTTAGCCGTCCACCCCCGAAAATGCACGTATACCCTAAAAGGGTCCAAATCAATCACGCGAGATTCGTACCATCTGTGGTCCGTATCAAGCGCATCAATGAGCTGGTTCTTTTCTAATGCAAATCTCCACGCGTCTGCCTGAATCTCACTATAAAACTTTCCATGTCGCCAATCAGATTCCCTGCTCTCTTTTGTATCTGCAAATCGCCCTTCAACCAGCAAATAGTGCAGCTTTTCCTTCCCAGGCTTATAATCTCGCAGTTCTAGCTGCAGATCCTCTACGGTCATATTCTTTACCATCAAATCCGGACCTGTTGCACTCGTAAAGCCAGTACTCGTTCTCTCGTTGTCCTCCCTGCTTACTGCATCAATCAATCGCATCCAAGGCGAGCCCTCTCTCGCTTTGTAACATACTTGTACCACTTGACTTATTGTCGTCTCAGTCACGTTTGGAAACGTTTTTCTCAACTCCATCTCGGCCGTTTCCCAGATTTGTAGCTGCAAATCGTGCAGCGAGCACGTCTTACAGACCGACAGGATCACTGCTTTCTGCTCTCTATCCACCAACTCTGTCGGTTCTGCAAGTCCTGAATGCCACACCAGCACCTACTTGGCATACAACACACCAGAAAAAAACAGTACAAAAGAAAAGACAAAACCAATTTCCCATCAGCTTTTCCTCCTCATTCTCAATCATACACTGCACGAAAACTAGTCCCCTTGTCGACCCCTACTTTCACCCACCCACACAAAACCCCACCCACAAACGCACCTCAAACGCAATCAAATGAACGTCCACCACTCGAGTCGTCAAGGTCGCCACCACGGGTCTCGCGATCTCCCAATCACAGCCAAAAGTATCAACCAATCGGTTCCACACGTGTTGAGGCACAAGCCGAAAATGGGTCCCTTCGACCTGTACAAATGAATAAAACCCACACCCAAAAACAGTCCAAAGGATCAGTCCATTTTTAACCTGTATCAATTAATAAAACACCCATCCCAAGGCAAAAAAACAGCAAGCTTCCGACCGCTCTCGCGTCGGCTCTAGAGCCCCGTTAAAGCTCGTACCAGCATGGGTCGCAGCACTGTGACGTGTCGCACACGAGAGCTCAGCTCCAGCTCCAGCAACGCGGCGTTTTGCACGGCAAAATCGCCGTTTTCGCGAGCAAAACCCGCTTTCTCGTCGTCCGAGTCGTCGTCGGTTTGGCCGTCGCTCTCGTCGCTCCTGGGCGTCCCCAGCACGCGCTTCCACCACGGAATGGACACGAGGTACCAGGCCTCGCCCTCGTGGAGCTGCGCTTGGGTCAGTTGCTGCTCGAGAGCGGCTGCGAAGCGACAGAGCGCAGCGCGGGGGCGGGTGGGGGGTGGGGTCATTCGAAGTGGGTGATTGGTGACTTTTAGGTCGGGCGGGACGCAAATGGGACTATAAAAGGTACTGAAAATAGGAAAAGAGATGCAGAGTGGGTGGCTCGTTGGGTGGGTGGGTGGATGTTGTGGAAGGGTGGTTGGTGGTTTTTTTTTTTTTGGATGGGTTTTATGAGGAAGAGGGAAGGGGGAGGGATGGGTGTGGGTCTGAACGGTGTCTTTTTTTTGGTGGAATGAAATCACCCATAATGAGTGGGTGATTTGGTCGTTCGTGGGATTTACTTTTATTTGCATTTATATGAACGAGCGTTGTTTTTGTACGACGAGCGTCGTGCGTACAGTTTGGATGTGTCCTGTTTTGCGGCCGATCGAGGCAACATGCGATTTGCGGGATGTGAGATGGCGAGAAAATGTCCGAGCGAACATTTTATCTGCTGTTGTTTTCGGAACTGAAGTAGCATTTTGTCGTAGTGTTGTTCTTAATTCGGAGGTGAGCTTGTCTAATCTTTCGATCGGACTTTTCCATTGTCGTCGGCTTGTGATATTAAAGTCGCACATTGTTGACCAGGTAACTAATCTAAATAATGCACCTACAGTTATTTAAATGAACTACATCGACGAATACTGAGAGAGCATCCACTATTTAACAAAAGAACAGCCACTATTTAACACGAGAACAGCCACAATTTAACAAGACACTAGCTACATATTGAAGCCTCACCCCGTTGAGCCCATTAGCAGTGCCGACATGACGATTGTCGATTCTGTACTAAAACGGATGAAGGCGAAAGCTTTGGACTCTTCGATGTAGACTCTTTATTCCTCCTCACGCCCGGCTACGTTAAGATATTTTGTGAAAAGGGTCACTTGCTCCGTATTGATGTTCAATCGTCTTTAAATGGTTCAGCACAAGCTGAATTACAAATTAGGGATAGCACGTGTTACATGTACTTTAACATTATCACATATGGTCCTTTACAATGCCGCAGCTGCAATTTGAGGCATCTGGACATTTGTGGCGTTTGTATAACATCCTATTTATAACACACGTCGTGCGCGCCGCAAGCTTAACAGCGTAAATGCGTCGGACGTGCCAAAACTAGCAGTTGTTCAAGTGTCGATCGGGTAAATTTCGGAAGAGGTCTTGTTAAGTGATCGCGGTACGGACAGCCTTCTCGTCGCTTTCGAAAGGCCCGACCAGGAGTTTTCACAACTTTACGACTCCATGATGGAGTTGAAGTGAAAGAACTGACAGTATCAGTACTGTCTTCATCAGTGTATGCAGCGACGTTTATCGCAGTGCTATAACGCGAAGGAGACCGACAGTGAGTTTAACATCGTGAGCTGCACCGCCAGAGGTGATGATAATATGATGGCTCATCGTCATGCACACGATAAAGCTACGAAAAAGGAGAGAGGCCTGATTGAGCCTGGATCGTGGGTGATCTCTTGCTGAATTATGGCTGTTCTCTTGTTGTCACACATCTTGGCAGGTGACAAGATGCTCGAAACGCAACTTTTTGCATTAACGTGTAACCAACACTGGATGCATCTGGGGCGAAACTTCTGACGAAACTTGATGTTCGTGACATTTTCATTTTCAGTACAAATCGCCAACGCGCGTCGATTCCAAACAGCCAAGTTCTTTTGTTGCCAAACAAACCGCAGTACTGTTGGTGGTGCAAAAGTCCACAAACAGCATGTCAAGGTGTCGGTTGAGTAGCGTAAACTCGAGCATTTACGGCCATGTCACGCAAGAGCAGTCCAAGAGTTGAGCATCACAATTTGTCAAAGCCGCGGGCGTAAGTGCGGCAAAGCGACTTGATTCATTCAGCGAAAACGGCGGACGTGCGCACTTCAAATCGAAAACATGCCTAGCGAGCCCAATTCGAGGTCGTAGCAATTACTTTGATAACGCTGTCTCGAGCATGTTGCACCCAACATGTCAGCAACACGTCCTTCAAGTTTGACACAAATCGTAGTACCTTCATAGGCCTTAGCGCATGCAACCTGTTTCAGGTATACATCGAAAATGATCACACTCGACTCGTACGCACTCGCTGGCGTGAGCAACAAAACGACTGAAGCCACAAGACAGCAGATCATTGCAACATTCCTGGTTGCAGACGCCTCAGCCAGATCAGAACGAAACACGAGGACCTGGTGGCATGTTGTCATACTTGTAACTTGACAACAAGCCCAGTAACGCGACCATGGCGAAGGGGCGGCACACGATGCAGCATGGTGTTCTTGTACCTGCTCTGATACAAAGGTGATGTAAAGTAATAGCGGTTGATGTGGTCGCCATGGTATGTGAAATGGCTCTCCGACTATCTCCAGCAATTTCGTGAAGCCAGGCAGGCCTATTAAAGTGTGTCGCTATTTCCACCACCATCGTATGATGCGCCGCTAAGCACAAGGCGATAACCTTTTGCCAGGTAGCTGATCGACGTCTCGACGAATGGCCGGAGTCCAAGCAGTCAAACACTGCAAATCAGTCGACTCTTCGTCCACATGTCCGACAATTGGATTGTTATTTCCCACAGTGCTTCAACTTCGTCATCACTAATTCTTTGGAGGACCAAACAGCCCACCGTCGCCATCCCAGTCAGAGTCAGAGTCAGAATCCGATTCAGACTCGATGGCACGCATTCGTGCAGCAGCATTGGATATTGGCAACCCGGCGGCAGGTACGGAAGTATCTGCTAGCAATCCAAACGGCGGTTCTGAAAGCGCTCTAGCTTGCATCGGGGCTGACGCAGAAGTGCTCGCTCCTGCTTGTGCCGGAGCTCCTACTGACTGTGCATCGGCAGGTTTCGACTTTGGTACACCAAACAAACCACCGTCTTCATCGCTCCAGTCATCACTGTCGTCGTCCGAGGAGTTCTGACGGTCGGTCAACGGCTTACCAAGCGGCACCGAAGTAGCTAACGCCGGCGACAAGGCCGAGATTGGAGCTGACGTCGGTGCACCAAAGAGACCTTCGTCATCGTCGCTCCAGTCATCACCATCGTCGTCTGAAGAATGACGTTGATTGCTGCGTGGCGCAGCAGGAAGCACTGACGTCACCATCGCAGGTTTTGGTGCCGACATCAGAGCTGGCTGCGGCATCAACATCGACGCAGGTTGAGAGGGTGTCGCTCCGAACAGATCACCTCCATCTGATTCGCTCGAGTCGCTGAGGGCCCGCGACTGCCGAGCTTGTGTCGGTCGGGCAACAGCTGGTACAGCAGCAGGAGTCTTGGTAACTTGCGGTATTCCAAATAAGCCGTCGTCTTCATCATCATCGTCACTGTCGCTATCACTGGCATCGAGTGCGACTGCAGAAGCTGGTTTAGGGGCCACTACTGGAGGCGGCTTGGCAACAGCTGGTGGCTTGTTTGAAACTGCTGGTGACTTGTTTGCACCGAAAAGACCGCTAGCATCACTATCGTCGCAGTCATCGCTATCACCCTCACCAAACAGACCACTTTGTGGGGCACGGTGTACAGGTTGAAGTTGTCGAGCAGATGCATCACCTCCGTCCGAGTCACTCGAGTCACTAAGCACCCGCGACTGTCGAGTCTGCGTTGGTGCTAAAAGGACTGGCGCAGCAGCAGGAGGCTTGGCAACCCGGGATGTTCCAAATAAGCCGTCGTCTTCATCATCATCATCGTCACTGTCGCTATCACTGATGTCGCGTGTAACGCTAGGAGCTGGTCTAGGGGCAACTACCAGAGGCGGCTTGGCAGCAGCCGATGATGTCCGGGTGGCTGCTGACTCGTTAGCACCGAACACCTCGCTCGCATCGCTATCGTCGCTATCATCACTCTCGCCCTCACCAAATAGACCACTCTGAGGTGCACGGTGTACCGGTTGTGAACGAGGAGCTGATACCGGAGGAGCCGTGCTGGCACCAAACAAGCCCGCACCGTCTTCATCTTCGTCACTGCTACTATCAGAATACAAAGCGCGTCGTGCGCGCGGAATGGTTGTGCTCGGCTGCGGCGCAGTAGACTCAAGCACTGGCGGACGACCAAAGAGTCCACTCGTATCGCTTTCATCGGAATCTGCGCGTCGTCGAGACGGCTCGACTACAGGCGGACGACCAAACAAGCCGCTCATTTCACTCTCGTCAGAATTCGAGCGTTCACGAGAGGCAGCCGACAACCTCTCCGACTCTCCCGAGCTCGACCGATACCGCGAGCGTGACATCGATCTTCTCGATGCCGATGACGCATTCGACGCCGCCGAGTCCGACTCGGATCCCGAACTGCTGTAAGACGACGAGTCACTTCCATCACTGTCACTCTCAGAATACTCTTCTGGTGCAGCACCAAGTCCAAGCGTCTCGTCTTCAAGAAACTCCCTCGTCCCAATAATAAACGGCAATGGCCGTTCATTGTAAATGTCCAGCACCGTCTCAAACGGCGACGACGTTTCCTCGTTTGCATCGTCATCAGCCTCGTCTTCATCCTCATCGTCCATCATCACAAAGAGCTTCATGGCTTCCATCCCCATATCCAGAGCCGACCTGTACTTTGTCACAATAGACTCAGCAGCAGCTTTGGCTCCTCCTCCTTCCTTGTCCACCAAAGCAGAAGCTGAAGTAGTTGTTGCTAAAGTCGTTGCAGTAGCTGCCGCTGCGCCCGTCTCGTCTCTGTCCCTGTCTCGTTTGTCCGTCTCGAGCTTGTCCTCGCTTGACATTTCTAAACTATAGAAATCCTCCTGCTCTTCATCGTACACGCGGTTCTCCATAAACTGGTTGTTCGACAGCAGGAGAAACTGGTTCAACGTGTTCTTCAGTCGCACGTGCGCGGCATCCGCGTCCGCTGCAATGTCCCGTACTTGATCTTCCAGTGCTTTTGTCCGTACGAACAAATCCGACGAATACCGTTTTAGAAACGTGTGCAGGGAATGGTCCGAGTGCAGCGTCCAATTAGAAACGTCCTGCGATAAGTCCGTGAGCGTCGTTGTCTCCGGTGCGTGAGGTGCTGCTGCGTCTGGACTTGGTGATGCATCGGGAGACGGATGAGTGTCTGAAGAGGTGAGTGGGGGAGGAGGAGGAGGAGGGGGAGCGATGGCTACGAGAGCGCGCTCGGCGTCCGGCGCGGCCTCGAGAGCCAGCATGGTGGGGTTCGTTTCTATTTCTGTGGCGTGACTTGTGGTGTGGATTTATTAATTGTAAGAGTCTTGCAATGGATTCGTCCGTTTGTTTTCGAGTGTCGATTGTACTTGATGTGGGACACAATAACATAGGAGCGACGAGATGAGAGAGTTGCGAGGGTGCCGGTAAAGTTGCTCAATCACGTGGGACAAATGGAAGTGGACATTATTTTCCACGAAAAAGCAGACGGGACGTTTAAGTGAGTCTGATAATTCGTGACTCGACCCCGTGTCCCTTGTAATAGTGACAAGAATCACACACGAAGTGAGAGCCTCTCATACGGGAATAAGCAGCAGCCTAAAAATTAGTTTGCAGTCTGTCGTAGGGTAGCAGAGTTTTCGATTCGGTTTTAAAAAAGGCTGGACAAGCTGAACTGCATAATCGTGTACCGAGTAGAATACGAATACAGTCGAGGTTTCCATGATGATCGAAGACGGGAGAATATCGAGTGACTCTCGTTCGACAGCTCGGACACGAAGTTTGGGATTGTGGATGGCATCGACCTCAACGAGCAGGTCTGATGTCGAGACTTGCTGTCGGACGTGGCATTTCTCCTAGACGATGATATTGCAAGAGTGGTGTCAACCTCGCACAGTTTCTGCTTGATTCTGATCGAGCATTTCAGACAAGTTCAGCGGACTGCAAGTGTTGGCTATTGTGACGACAGATTTGTTGTGACTGCACTTGGATGCTAGTTGTAAGGAAGTTGTGAGTCTACCTGCTTTTTTGACGAAGTAGTGCAATGTCTTCCGGTACTGGTAATGGAGATGTGCCGGCAAGAGGTGATCGACGCTCCAGAAATGACTCTACTCATGTACGACAAGATTTTGACATGATGCAATGAAGAGAGAGCCTGTGATTGTCGGACACCACTATCGGTGATCGTGCCGACAAAGACTGGGGTACTGCAACTGTTTGCAGTAAAAGTGCGCTGTTGGCCAGTTATTGGCGATTGCAGTCGTGCAAACTAGAAGAACCGAATGCTGTCACGAACATGGACATCGTGGAAAGTACCTGGGTACGCGAGAAAGCACGCTGACTCTTGTAGAGCGCGATTCGTCGGGAAATTACGAAGTCGTGAAAATGAGATTGAGCTGACGGTATGTGTTGGTGAATGCGCAAACTCGAACTGCTGTGAATCATGAGGCGCTCGATGGGCCATGAAGTGGATAAAACGCAAAGTGAATATGCTGCGCAAGGTACAAGCAAGAATGTCGAAAGTACAAGCTACGGAATGCCTCGCACACACGGTTTGGTATGTCCACGTCCTATTTTCATCAAGTCCAACGCCACACTCCTACAGTAATTGGTGCCTACGATGACTGCTGAGTAGCTTGCGCTGACGTCGGTGATACGGGCGACCGCTGTCTACAGGTGCATGGCTGGACGGCTCCACCACCGCATTGGCAACATGTTTTCGTGAGCACTTTCGACCCAAAGGTCGTACGCCAATGTGGCGGCCAAGTCGTCTCAATTGATTTTCGCGCACACAATCGCACGTAGAATCTTGCTAAACGCGGATAGAGTCCATCGAGCTGTAAGCCACATCGAACTGCGTAAGCAATGTTCGTAAAGAGGGTGAAGTCGCACAGATACGGCACCTCAGGGTCCACGAGAAACTCATGTCCATCCAAATAGGACTCCCAGAGCCTCAATTCACACTCGACGGACGCCCACTTGGCATTCACAACTGCTACATTGCGTTTCTCGTGTGGAAACCGACGCAAGTAGACGACCAAGTCGCCTACGATGGACAAGATCTCATTCGATTCATGCAGACGAGACTGCGCCACGGCATAAAGAGCTGGTGATAGTGGCATACAAGGTGCCTCATCGTACGTCTTCTCCAAGTAAGCCAAGATCGCGCCAGACTCGTAAACAATCGTACGATCCTGCGACATGTTGATCGCTAGATGTCGCGGGGTATCCGACCTGACGGTCTCGTCTACGTTTCTCGGAACGTTCAATGTCGTAGCATCGACGTTTCCCCGAGCTCTCTTGTCCAATTGTTGTCGGAGGTGCTCCACTGGCTCAACGAGGACAGGAATCCGCATGCGCGGATTGAGCGCTCGGAAAAACGGCGTCTTGAGCACACCACTGGAGAAACTGATGCATACACTGCGGTAAGGCAAGTTCTTTTCCTGTAACGCGATCAAGATGCGCCAAGCTGCAATGAAAGACAAGAGAAGCGTGCATCGTTTCGAAGTGGATGGATACAAAGGGATATCAATATGAGCGAGGCAATAATGCAGCAGTGCTGGGTTTTAGTCATGGGTACAAAAATCAGGAAAAGATTATTGACACCCACCTTGAGGACTGCCGGATCCCCAATAGACAACACGCTCGTGAGGCAGCGGCACGGACTGCAGCATCTCATCTTCGCTCGACACCAAGTCGTTAGCGCTCGAAGTCGTCGCCATCATTTAGGGACCAGCTTTTTCTATCCGAGTCTTTTTGTCCACCTCTCTCGGTGTTGTGTGTTTGTGGTGTGCACGTACACAATGATTGACTGCGGCGGGGGGAGACCGTCTCTTCTTTGTCGAGTACCGACCTCGACCACACCTGAAAAAGAATTGAGACTGGAAATAGATACAGGGGTATTGCTGTGGTACAACGTGCGACTGGAAGGTTGCTTGAGTGTACTCGGTCGGATACTTACGCGAGTATGTTCGTTTTCTTGCCACCGCGGTATGGCGTGCACATTATGCGGGAGCGTCGAAGCAGCGTGTTGTCAGTCGTAACGAACAAGTTTCGACACACACTGGCCAGATGTATGGACTGTTGACCTGCTCGTTGGTGCTTTGAAACATGCTGGTTTGCTGAAAAACTTCCTAGAAAGGGCATTATTGTCAGACATAGTCCGATGATCCGCATTCTACCGCGCAGGGTAGACGATGTCTCGGCCAAATCGAGTATTGGATTGTCTGCGTCCTGCTTGCCACGGGACGTGACTGTCATCAAGAGATACGTGGGTAATGTGGTCGTGTAGAAAGGTTGTGGAGTGGACAGGTTTCTACTTCTCACATGGCTACGGAAACTGCGTGTTGCATGCTTCCAGAAGAATTGCGAACTGAAAGCTGTACAGACGTCTGTTTGATGGGGAACGAGAGCGCGAGCAGGTATCTAGTAGCGGAGAGTGGCGAGGTGATCAAGAAGGAGTTCACTTGCTACCGAATAACATTGTCAAATGTGTTGGACCTTTTGATTGTAGGACTTCCAGACGAAGCTTCACGTCTGCTGTCAATGCCGTGAGACGGTGCATCCAAGAGAGCCATCGTAGCTCCACGACACAACCGACGAGCGCCTGAATGAAGCCGTTTGTGACGGTCTCACAAATGCGTTTCCAGCGCAGTTGTAACATTTCGTCTCGTCAATACCTAGACAAGATAACGGGAACCAAGAGCACGGTCCTGCGCACTGTAAAGTCGATCGACGATGGTTTGCACCACATGGCGGTGTCACCTTCCTTCACTGTATTCTGGGTATCCGGAGGTACTGTACGATGACCAGACCATGCAGGGCACAGCTTCGTCTTCATGTTACAATTTTTCAGCAGACCGAGTCGCTCGACTTCTCAGCATCACATCAATCACACTTTCTATCCTTCAGGCAGAGCAACACGTGCCGATCACGCGTTCATTTCCCGATAACTGCGTACTCGATACTCAATACTTCGACCTTGCATTAGCATTTGCGCTTTCGAGATACAACAATGTCCGGGCTGATCTACGGCACCATAATGGTACTCCTCGTCACGGCACGATCAATTTTCAAGACACAAGCGACGAATTCGTACCCGATCGTGCTTGTCAACGGATTTTCCGGCTGGGGTCGTGCTGAACTATCGGGTTTTCGATATTGGGGTGGCATTCAAGGAGATTTCCAGAATGAGCTCACGGCTCGAGGGTACACGGTCTATACAGCTGCAGTCGGTCCCTTTTCAAGTAACTGGGATCGCGCTTGCGAGCTGTACGCTCTTATCAAAGGTGGACAGGTTGACTATGGCCAGAATCACTCGGCGACTCACAACCATCTTCGCTTTGGACGCAATTATACGGGACTTTACACAAGGTGGGGCACGGTCAACGCGGACGGTTCGATCAACAAGGTCCACATCATGGGGCACAGTATGGGTGGCCAGACTGCACGAATGCTGACTCAGATGCTCGAGCATGGCACTGGTGGTGCACCGATCGAGGAAGATCCGTCGTCGCACCCTTTGTTTAGTGGTGGGAAGAGCTGGGTGCACTCGATCACAACAATCTCGACGCCAAACCAGGGCACGACCCTGGCCGATGGTTTCTCCGTTATTGGTGACTCAGTCAAAGACCTGCTTGCAGGTGTGCTTAGTGTTGTCGGAATTTTTGGCACGAAGACCGAGATGTTCTATGACGCCAAGTTGGATCAGTGGGGAATCGCAAGCAAACAACCAGGCGAGATGCTGAAGGCGTATCTCAATCGCGTCTATTCCAGCAGTATATTCGATCCAAGCTTTCGAGACTTTTCGCTCTGGAGTTTGTCCACTGGCGGCGCCAAGGAGGAAGCAACATGGGTAAAGACATTGAGTGACGTGTACTATTACAGCTACACCACTGTTGCCACGTTTGACACGCGCGACTATCGCTTCCGCAAGATTTCGCTGCCCCAGGTGCTGAATGTACTGCTGGTTCTCAAACCACTGGCAACATTCCTAGGCGGGCGATATGCACCCGACGTCCTGAAACTCCCAACCAAGTGGCAACCCAATGACGGCGTTGTGAACTCGATTTCCATGGCTTCCGACGGTATCGGGGGTGTCGCTGCGTTCACAGGTTCATCTCAATTGGGTAAGTGGAATCTGTTACCGCAGCTGAATCGACTTGACCATCTCGGTGTGGTCGGCATCACGCTACACACACAGGTGCTGAAACTGTACGAGGGCCACGCTGCGCTATTGGCATCTTTGCCTACCACCTCTGGTGCCCGTCGACTACAAAGCGACTCGATCGAAGCCCGTGTGAAACTCGACACGGCCATTGAAGAGTTGTCAGCAGCAACAGCACGCATGGGGACAAAGACTGGCTTAGAAGCTCTGTGCCAGGATCCTAAGAACGCATACGTCCAAAACTATTGCACTAAGATGCTTGCGTCTGTAGCCACGCGCCATTTACGCGGATAGAGGTGGTTCATCCACGTGAATAGAGATAGATGTATCATTGCTGAGACTAGCGTGTCCGTTATGCACAAAATCGCACCTAGAATCTACAGACCAAGTCGCATACGATGGACAAGATCTTGATTGATTCGTGCAAACGAGACGGTGTCACGGCATAAAGAGCTGGCGGTATTGGCATACAAGGCGCTTTGTCGCATGTCGATTTCAAGTACGTCAGATCGCGCCAAACTCGTCGACAATCGCACGAATGTGCGACATGTTGAGTGCTACATGTCGCGAGGTATCGGACTTGACGGTCTCGTCTACGTTGCTCGGAACTTCAAGTGTCGTTGCAGCGACTTGTCTCCGGCTCTTTTGTCCAGTTATTATCGGAGCTGCTCGACCGACTCAACGAGGACGCCACTTGAGAAATGGATATCCACACTGCGGTAGGGCAGGTTCTTTTCCTCCGAGGAAATGGACATACGCCACGCTGCATGCGAGACTGAGAAGAAATGCACAGTTTCCACGTGCATTCAGAATTATCAACGATAGCGAGGCAATGACGTAGCAGTGCTATTCAGTGGTACAAGCACAAGGAAAGATGAGCGACGCCACCATGAGGCCTGCTGATCTCCAATAAACAACGCGGCCAAGAGGTAGCAGTGCAGACTACAGCATCTCATTTTCGCTCGACCCGCAAGTTGTTTGCACTCAAAACTGTCGCCATTGATTATGGGCAGCTGCCGATCGGTAGGTCTGTCCACCTCTTTCGTTTGCTTGCGTTGTGTGTTTGTGGTATGCACGTACACAACGATCGGCCGCGTGAGGAGACGGTCGGAAGACCGTCCCTTTGTCGAGTATCTCGACCATCAAGGGAGCTACACTACGCAGGTAGTACCGTCAATAGGGATGTAGATACCAGCCAAAAAGCGTGTGATACATCGAATGAGGTTGCGATGTCCGCTTGACGACGTGCGACTGGCAGGTCGCTTGATTGGATACTTACGCGAGTATACTCGTTGCCACTGCGGTATTGCGTGCACACCACGAGCTATCATCGGAGCAGCTAGAGTAGAGAAAGAGTTAGAGTAACTACAAGTAACGATACTTCGACTACGGTTCTTTTCAGCTATGGAGATAGCTGGTCTGCTTGAAGCTTTGTAGCATGCATGGCAACTGAAAGCTTTCTAGAGAACGCCTTATCGCTAGACATAGTTCTATGATCCTCATTCCATCGAGCAGGGTAGACGATACCTCTTGTACAGCCGGTATCGAATTGCCCATGCGAGATGTCACAGACGAGGTCATCACCGAGAGCTATGTAAAAAAGGCTACGCCGAAAGGTAGTGGAGTGTACGAGTTTCTACTTATCCAAATGGCAATGGGGAAGCTGCATATTGCGTCCTGCCAGAAATCGCGGTCTGGAAGCTGTAAATGTGTCTGTTTTCGTTGGAAGAAGGGAACAACAGAGCAATTATTGGATACAAGAGCGCGATGGCGGGAAGTCATTGAGCAGTGATTTGGTGTGAGCAGCGATTCAGGGAAGTGGTCACCTTGCTCCAGACCACCATTGCAACCTGTATTGGATGTATGAGCAGGACGTACCCGACGTAGCTTCACGTCAGCTGCCAAAGCCGTGAGATGATGCATGAGGAAACCACCTGGGCTCCACGATTAACGACCAGCAAAGCGCAACCACAAATCTGGATGTGGTGGTCTCGACAGTGCGAGTCTATCGTCAGGGCACAGGAGTAAGACTTCGTGTCGTCAACAACTAGGGAAGGCAACGGGAACCAAGAGTCCTGTCCTGTGCAGTGTGAATTCAATCGACGACGGATAGCATCACTTGGTGGTGTCACCTTCATTGTATCCTGGGTACCCTGCGACACGGTACGATGGCTAGACCCGGGCTTTGTCCTTACGCCACAACGTTTCTAAGCGAATGAGTTGCTGACATTCCCAGCATCACAATCAATCACACTTTCCTTCCGTCAGGAAGAGCTATACGTGTCTATCATGCCTTCATTTCCCCTTTTACTCGACCTTACGCTTGATTGACGCTTATCACTACAAGATGTCTGTGAGGTTCCACGCCACCGTCTTCGCACTCCTCGTCACGGCACGATCAATTTTCAAGACACAAGCGACGAATTCGTACCCGATCGTGCTTGTCGGTGGATTCTTTGCTTGGAGTCGAGATGAACTATCGGGTTTTCGATATTGGGGTGGCATTCAAGGAGATTTCCAGAATGAGCTCACGGCTCGAGGGTACACGGTCTATACAGCTGCAGTCGGTCCCTTTTCAAGTAACTGGGATCGCGCTTGCGAGCTGTACGCTCTTATCAAAGGTGGACAGGTTGACTATGGCCAGAATCACTCGGCGACTCACAACCATCTTCGCTTTGGACGCAATTATACGGGACTTTACACAAGGTGGGGCACGGTCAACGCGGACGGTTCGATCAACAAGGTCCACATCATGGGGCACAGTATGGGTGGCCAGACTGCACGAATGCTGACTCAGATGCTCGAGCATGGCACTGGTGGTGCACCGATCGAGGAAGATCCGTCGTCGCACCCTTTGTTTAGTGGTGGGAAGAGCTGGGTGCACTCGATCACAACAATCTCGACGCCAAACCAGGGCACGACCCTGGCCGATGGTTTCTCCGTTATTGGTGACTCAGTCAAAGACCTGCTTGCAGGTGTGCTTAGTGTTGTCGGAATTTTTGGCACGAAGACCGAGATGTTCTATGACGCCAAGTTGGATCAGTGGGGAATCGCAAGCAAACAACCAGGCGAGATGCTGAAAGCGTATCTCAATCGCGTCTATTCCAGCAGTATATTCGATCCAAGCTTTCGAGACTTTTCGCTCTGGAGTTTGTCCACTCGCGGTGCAAAAGAGGAAGCGACATGGGTGACGATCCTGAGTGATGTGTACTACTACAGCTACACCACCGTTGCCACGTTTGAAACGCGAGACTGGTTCTTCCGTAAGATCTCGCTGCCCCATCTCCTAAGTGTGACGCTGGCTCTTGCACCCTCTGCAGTCTTTGTAGGCGGGCGATATGCACCCGACGTCCTGAAACTCCCAACCGAGTGGCAACCCAATGACGGCGTTGTGAACTCGATTTCCATGGCTTCTGACGGTATCGGGAGTGTCGTTGCGTTTACTGGTTCGTCTCATTTGGGCACGTGGAATCTGTTACCGCAGCTGAATCGACTTGACCATCTCGGTATGATTGGCTTTACGCTACACACACAGGTGCTGAAACTGTACGAGGGCCACGCTGCACTGTTGGCATCTTTGCCTACCACCTCTGGTGCCCGTCGACTACAAAGCGACTCGATCGAAGCTCGTGTGAAACTCGACACGGCCATTGAAGAGTTGTCAGCAGCAACAGCACGCGTGGGGACAAAGACTGACTTAGAAGCTCTGTGCCAGGATCCTAAGAACGCATACGTCCAGAACTATTGCACCAAGATGCTTGCATCCGTAGCCACGCGCCATTTACGCGGATAGAGGTGGTTCATCCACGCAAATAGAGCTAGATGATGTACCATTGCTGAGACTAGCGTGTCCGTTATGCACAAAATCGCACCTAGAATCTGTAGACCAAGTCGTATACGATGGACAAGTTCTCGATCGATTCGTGCAAACGAGACGGTGCCACGGTACCAAAAATCTCTATCTGCGGAAGTTACAAACACTGTGCACCCTTCACGACTACCATTTGTGAAATCCAAGAGTGAGGTTATCGGCCACTAAAGCCGAAGCAACAATATATAAGCTACTACCACTACTTAATACAGCGCTATTATCGATGCTGCTACCACCAATCCTTTTGCATTGACATCAAGACTTCGCAATTGCTCCGCGAGCCGCAGCGGAGTCAAACAGCACGCAGAGGCCGAGCGCAATCAAAGCGTCCATACAAATCAATTTAAATGTATTGTCTTATCAATGTAAATCATGCACAAGGCTTCATTTCTTGCAGGGATCGCTACGTAGATGCATCCAGTCCTGAAAGACCCTTGCACGGTTGCTGTAGCGGAGCTACTTATCGCTCCTTAGCAGAGGAAGTCTTGGACTTAAAGAGTCTCTTTGTTATAACTAACTAACAAGACGTACAGTCGTTCAAGCGTACAAGATTAACAGTCCCGGTTACAAAGGGATTACGATTCACAGAATCACACACTAACTAGTCATTGCTAGTTAAACAAGAGTAAACGCCTTCACAAGGCTAACACTCTTACAACACACTCTGCCTCAACCAGGCACTAGCGTCCAAAGAGTCAAAAGGGGGACTGAACTTTACTTATTCTTTTAGCTACAGTAATAAAACCCTAAAACCTTATCTGACTGACCTCTACATTACGATCCTATGACACAAGTTTTATCCCTTACCCCTACCCGAAAAGGTGCGGTATTACCGTAAGTACGTAGTACCAAGACTGTACCACTCATGTAACGGGGTAGCCCGTTACACGACATTGACACCAAACGGTGTCAATAAGAAGATTGTCTCGCGTGGCAATCCCCTTCCAATGTTATCCGAGATGGATAGTATTGAAGAAAATTTATCCCCTTTGTAGGATATTATTCGTGCGCTGCTCAAAGATTGGTTGGTAAAAGACATATCAACCAAGGTTACCACCAATCGCTGCTAGACGCGCGTAATGAGTGGTGAGCAAGTTGTCGTCATACGACAATGTAGATTAGTATACTTAGATAAATACTGAAGTTACATCGATAGCTTAACTATATTATAAACAGTTCTTTTTTACCTTTACTCAAGCCAGCTGTTTGTGTAGATTAGCTTCCTCTGCACGTACTAGTGTGCGTGAAGTTTCGTGGCACCTCAAACAAAGGGTGCCCCGTCACACCTGTTAGCACTTTGTAGTCCGTCCAACGACTATTTGGTGTCCGTCCAGCATGAACATGTCGAACGTAGAAGACGACAGCTTTCACGTCACACGTGAAAGTCACTCCCATTTGAGTGACTCAGAATGGAGGATAGTCG